TCACTTGCATGTTTAACTCGTGCTTAGGAAAATATGTTTCCTAGGCGATAACCTTTTATGTACCAGCCTGACTTCATTGAAATGCATAGAGATAAAAATATGTCACGCTCAGCGGCTATGCTATTCTTGTGCGGCACTGTGATTATTCAGATGGTAATTGACCCCCACCTGTAGACAGCTCCGATTCTGTAGTCAATCATTTCATTTGATGTTAAAATATGTGAAAGTACAATTATATAATTTACATTACAAATCATGCTGAATGCCAGGGGTCTCTGAACCGCTGACAAATGCAAAGGAATCGGGGGTTGGGGGGAGAGCGCCCTGGTCAATAAATGAAGTGAATTACACCAGGCGAAGGGTTCAACTCTTCTTATTTGTGTCCACAACAAGAGCTTTTGTGCATGTGTCATTGAAAGGGTGGCTATGGCCTTCTCTCTGCACCGCAAATGGCAGCGTTTTAGAAGCCTTTCTAAGGATGCCTCCCCTTTTCTGGAAGAGTCGCTCCTCCCATTAGGTAAAGAAGTGAGGGCTTGTCAGGCCAGAAGGGGAAAGTGGATCTATTCAAGGGAAGACAGCACATTATGGCGGCTACTTGGTGACCAACCCAGGCATGCGTAGTAGACTTGTAAATTAAGCTTGCACGTTTCCAAACTTCAGATGTTGGCCATCAAACTTGAAACTTGCATTAATATTATTAGGGGTCCTGGCTGTTATTTATCTAGTATTTAATATGTGCCCTTCACTGGCCTAAACACTTCCGATATATTTTCTGGGTAACCCTCACGACACAGACATAAGATGTGGGTCTGCTGTCATCCTTTTCAGGTGAAGAGAATGGGCACAGAGTGGTTTGGGGGCTTGCTCAGGGCCATTTAGTTAGAAGGTGGAAAAGTGGGCAATGGCAGAGCCTAGGCTGGAGACCACCCTTTTCTTCTGGATCAGACATCAGAGGCTTATGGGGACCACACAGGATAGGGGAGGTGCACGGGGCCCGGGATCCGCCTCAGTGGGGCTTATGGGAAAGCAGGTGGTCGGGATGGGCGCGGGGATCCTTGGTGAGGGTGGCCCAAGTAGGGGACTCAGCAGCCGTGAGGTCCCCGGTAGAGATGGAATATCCACTGATGCAACGTGGATGGCCGCCTCCAGTCCAGCTCCAGGGCTTGCTGCCGATGGAGACTTCAAGAGCTCTTGTGGGTCTGGGAGGAGGCAGGACTATTTCTCCTGTGGAGGTGTAAGACCTTCACTGCAGCCACCCAAAGCCACACTCCTGCCCATTCTTCTGCCACATTTCAAAGCTGGTTCCCAGGGCCTCTGGCTCCCAGAGTGGGTGAAGTATTGGTCCAGGCACGAGCAAGGAAGACTCCACTCCCCTCCAAGTGCTTTTGGGCACCTAGAGCTGAGTTAGTTTCTGATGTGGACACCTGATCCTTGAAATGTGCTGGGAATCCTGCCTGTTGGCTCAGAAGTGCCAGTTCGCTGCCAGTTCCCCTTACACGGGCACAACCTGGCTTCTGAGCGACATCCCCTGGCAGTCCTCAGGAAGAGTCCATTTTATACTACAACACCTGGAACAGACAGCCAACGCCAATCACCTTCATGATTTGGGCCATATCCCATCCTCCTTTACTCTTCATCACTTAGCATCATGGTTAAGAGCACAATCTGGAGACACACACCTGGGCGCAAACCCTTACTCTGCTGTCTGCTGGCTGTGAGATCTAGGAGAGGTTAACTTCTGCTTGACTCAGTTTCCTCATTTGTAAGTGAAGTGAACAATAGTACCCACCTTATAGAGTTGTTACAAGAATTTAGAGTTAAAACGCAAAGCACTTAGAACAAAGCCTGATACATAGTCGGTGTATATGTAAAGTTTTAAATAAAATTTCCTTTTTATCTTAAATAAGGATTATCTTTTTTATCCGATTGTATATGCAAGCTAAATTTATTACTAATAAATTTAAAATATATAACTGCTAAATATGGGTTTAAATTCTGTTCATGGACTCCCAGTAGGGTGGGCACTGCTCTTTGGGACCCCTCAAAGTGTCAAGTTCAAACCCCTTGGCCCAGCATTCAAAGTCCCCCACAAACTGTCCCCCACTCACCTTTGCAGCATTGCCCCCCACTAACAACTCGCTCCGTACCTTATGCTCTGTTGATTTATGTACTTAACAAACACAAAGTAGTTTCAGTATTTTATCAAGAGGCAGTATAGCGTAGTGGTTAGGGCCACGGGTCTGGAGTCGAGTGACAAGGGTTTGAGTCTCAGCCCTGTGCCCTCTTGGCTGAGGGATATCAGCTCCCCATCCTGTGCCTCAGCTGTCTCGTCTGTAACATGAGGAGGGGAATAGAGTCCACCTCATTAGGGAGATTAGAAGAATTAAGGGAGTTAATTCATGCGAGTCCTTAGCACAGGACTTGGCCACAGTGAGCGCTCCTTAAATGTGAGTTAAGCTGGTCATTGGTATTTTGGTCACTTTTCTATGTTAAATAAATATTCTTTAGCCTGAGTAATGGCGTAAAGAATGAAGCACCGTCCAGGTCCCGGGATGCTGTATTTGAGGAGCTCCAGGGCCCCTTCTCCTTCGCTGGAGACCACTCAGCCGAGAGCTGGGGGTGCGGGAAGCCGACCCGAGACGGAGCCGGCCCTTCCTCCAGTCGATCAGAAATCCCAGCAACCCCAGCAACCGAAATCGCAGGCTCGGTGAACGAGCCAGATGCCCTGGCCAGGGAAAATTTCCCAGGCACTTTCCAGAGGCTCATTCTGAAAGTGAATTGAGACATTATCTTTAATTAAAGTGGCACTCTGGCCCCATGAGTTTTCCGTCCCTAGATGCTCAAATGATGGCATCTGGTTTGTCCCCTCCCTGCCTTCTCTTCCTCCTTTTAATTTCAAGCCCATCAGAAGGCCGGTTTACCAAATTGGTTTTAATGGAAATTTAGCCAACGCGAATAATAATGAAATGTAAAATTATTCCTTAGCTAATGAACAGCCAGCGGCTTTGGGGTTAATCGTTTGCTTCTGGTGTCAGCTTATTTATATTGAAATAGAAGTGTAATAGGATTCCAAGCTGAAACTGTTTCATCTTCAGGATCATCACGTCCCTTCAGGGTTTATTCTTTATCATTAGTCATTGTTTAGTAATCGGTCCCACTTTGGACCTACTTGCGAGTTAATTAATTACCTAGTTAAACTTGAGTGGTTTTTCCTTTAAAAGATAGAGAACTTATTTTAACTGAGCATTGTGCTTTCATTTCCAAGCTCTTCAGACACACAGAAACGTCTTCCTCACTGATCTCTACACTAACTGGTCATCTTGACCAGCTGACAATCAAGGGGCTCACACTCCATCAACCGTGGCTGATGACGGTCTCTGGCCATCTCCACAGATCTTCTCAGCTGCCTCCAGGCAGAGGACCACAGAGAGACGTCCACTTCCAGAAACTCATTTTCCTTCCCTAGGACTCAGTGTCCCCATTTAAACAAGTAGGGGGTTAGATCACTAGATCAATGTTTTGTCAACCTGTGGAGGTTCTTCAGGAGTTACTGCTGGGAGATTGGTGGGTTGGGGATCAGTTACTCATCTGGAGGGAAATTGTTCATCCAAGCACTTTTTTCTTTTACAAATAGGTTTTCTGAGTGAGTTTTTGTTTGGAAAAACAAAAAAAAAGAGCAAGGTAAGGCTTACACTGTTCTTTTTTTTTTTTAAGTTTAGACTATGAGCCAGATTCATGGTTCCCAAATTGGACCACACCAAAAGCACTCAAGCAATGTTGGAAATAACACCAAAAGCACAGGCAACGAAAGAAAAAAATAGACAAATTGATAATCAAACTTAAAAATTCCTGTGCATTAAAGGACACCATCAACAGAGTGAAAAGGTAACCCATGGAATGAGACTGCAAATCACCTATCTGATAAGGGACTAAAATCCAGAATATGTAAAGAGCTCCCACAACTCAACAACAACAAAAAAGCCACAACTGATTTGAAAATGGGCAAAGGACTTGAATAGATATTTCTCTGAAGAAGACACACAAATAAGCACATGGAAGGATGCTCAATATCTGTAGTCACTGGGGAAATGCAAATGAAAACCACAATGAGACACCACTTCACCTCTACCCACCTACCTCAAATATGGTTATGAAGATTAAATGAGAAAATACACAGACAGTATTCAGAGGTGGAACATTAAATAAATTATTACCGTATCGATTAGTTCACCTGACACATATTGAACACCTGCTGTGTGCCAAATAAGGTGCTAGGTGCATATCTGGACTATGTCCTACCAGAGAGCTTGTGAGAGGGAAGGGGAAAAGGTTAAACGGCAGTAAAAGATTCAAATGTTTAAAAGTGGGTTGGTTTCTGATGACAGTATTTATACTAGGCTGTTCGTAATCTTTCTTCATTTAGAAAGACCCGGACATTGGGAGGAAAAAAGCTCCCTTATTTTTCAGTTTTTAAGACTATGATAATTCCTAGAGTACCTGGAAGTGACTTTAGCACTGGCCGTCCTGGATTAGCCCTGCTCCCGTTACACCCATGTGGAATTCACTAGAAGGCCAAACCAAGGGCTCTACCCAGGCACTTACGACAAGGACAAGGCGGAATTAGGTTGGACTACCCAAGCCGAAGTCAGGAGCAGCCCTCAGCAAGGCTGCCAAGCGTTATGAGCGGTAACGTTGGAAGCTGAAGGGGTCCTTGGTGTCTTGTTCAACCCTTTCATCTTCTAGCTGGACCATCTGTAGCCCTGAAAGAGGAAGGACCCCCAGCATCACTCAGGGATTTACGGCACAGAAGGGGGTGCGATCATGATATTCAGATTGTCTGTTTATCTGTCTCTGTGCTGTACCCCACTGAGCACCCTCTCCCCATGGGGACCTCTGCTTTCCCCATCCTCAGCTGACTGTCTTTCCAGTCCTTGTGAAAACCTGCTTTTCCTTAGTCCCGCTCCTTACAACTGTTAAGAATGGTTAAAGGAGAGAATTGAGGTGGTACAAACGAACTTTATTTAACACGGCATGCAGCAGGCGGTCTCCATTCCCAAGGGCCCAGACGACTGCGGAATGGTGCGGATGGCAGGAAGCTCTTATGGGATAAAGAATAAGGAACAAGGAAGTAAGATAGAGCCCAGCGTCAGCCTGCCCTTTGGGGGTTGGCTGACTGAGGAGACTGTGTTTCTGGTCACGCGGAGCATTTACAGTGACACAAAAGTTCTCTAAGTTTCAGTTTGCTAACGTGGCGCCCAGGGCAGGAGTGCCTCCATCTTAAGCCTTGAAATTTATTTCAGCATAACCTTGCTCATTTTGAGTGACATTGAAAGGTGAATTGTGACCTCGATGGGGACGTTTGCAGCACTGTGGTAGACTGGTTGGAAGAGCTTTCTTAGGCTGGGGACCTGAGATTTCCTCAAGGGGCCCCACATCGGGAGCCCCCGTCCTCTCCCACAATGCCCTGCTTTACAGCATGGCTGGCCTTGACCTGTTAACAGTTGTGGAATTGAGAAGCCCAAAGATCCCCGAGAAAGTGTTTACCAAAGTTATAAGATACTCAGGATCATCTAGCACGCTTTCACGAAGGGTGGACTCCCGAGCCCCTTTCCTTGGAAATTCCACCTCTGTAGATGCCACGTGGAACCCGGGAATCCTGAGGTTTAACAGCACCCAGGTGATCGTAGGGTTTGTTCAGCAGAGTCAATATTTCCTGGCTTTCCTTCCTCCATGTAACGAGCAGATAAGGAAACGGAGTCTCAAAGATAAGGAATAATATTTTCAAGCGTGTAAAAATAGTTCTAGAACCCACCTACCTTTTTAAAAATAATTTCTCCTTCTCTTCAAAAGCTTGGAGGCAGACCATACAAGGAGAGCCGTTCCTTTGTCCTTCACAGCCTTGACAGTGGAACAGTTCTGTCTCTTGTCTCACCTTCAGGATAAATATTGTCATTTTCCTTTGGCAATAACTTCACAGTCGCCCCACCCACGAGTCCTCTAGAAAAACACCCCATGTCAGTTCCCAGGGAGGAGTAACAATGTGCCGGGGAACAAATCTCTCCTAAAATTATAAAAGAAAAACATCAGCCTCTAAATATATCCACCACGATGAGCCTTCTATTTTTAATCCATTGTTGTATGGCGCGAGATTCAGAGCTATTAGTGTACTAAGCTTTGCCAAAATTAGACTGTAGATATTAAAAGCAATTAATGTTCTTCCCTTTATTTTTATTTATTTATTTTTAAGTCTCACAATGCAATTACTTAAGAGGCCTTCGGAAGAAATCCCGAGAATCATTTTCAATCAGCAGAATGAAAATGTCGCCTTTTGTGATTTGGCAAATAAACGATGTGGAGAAATAACTCCCTTATATGTCGCTGTGTACTATTCATTAAGGGCTAATTGCTGTGGTCTCTAAATGAAATACGGCAAACTGTTCTACCTCGGTGCCAGTTTGTTTAAAATCTGCAAAGCTTTATTATTAACACTATTTAATTATGAGAATGTCAGCCGTGGAGAATTCTGAACCCACACTTTCCCTTCATCATTAGGAACAGGGCAAAAATGAAACACTTTCAACAATGAAGGGTTCATATTTCAAGCTTATACAGTAGCTGCTAAAAGGCGAGACTCAGAAAATCAATTTTATTAAAGTCCTTCCAGCACTAAAGGGACTTGAATGCAGCTGAGCAATTTTAAAAACATGTCCAGGAGCGGCGACTTTTTGATTCATGTTTTTAGGGGGTTATTTTTGACTATTTTCAATATTGTCTCCTTACAGTGGGGTCAGAAGTGATTTGGGCAAGGGACAAGCCAGGTGAAGGGAACGTGTCCTCACAGTTTCTCCCTGCTTCAATTTCCATCAGAGGTGGGGCTCTAGGGCACAGGCCATCCAGGAGGGAGATGAGCGACAATGTGCAGCCTTGGGAGCGGGGGAGGGCTGTGGGGGAAGGAGGGCAACATCCTTTCTCTTTTATTTTAGATTTTTTTTTTTCATTTTAAACTCAGGAAAATAATGGCTAAATGTGGATCTAAGCCAAGGTTCACCAGCTTAGGCCCCGAAGGCTGCACGAAACCTCCCCAGCTACCCAGGTTCCACTGGCCCTTCTAGAATCCTGTTTTGTTCAAATTCCTCACTTGGCAATTCATTTACTGCCTCCCTACAATCATCTTCACTACTTACTTCTGTCTTTGAATTCATCTCTTGCTGATCTGTGTGTCTTGTCTCCTCAAAAAGTCTTGAGTGTTTCGAGAGCAGAGATGAAGGCTCCATCTCTGAATCATGGAGCCAACCGACCATTTTCCTGGATGACTCCTTTCATCTTTAATTTTACTTATCTGGTTGCCTAGCGATGTTTCTTCTCCCCAGCCTATTGAAAATTCTTTGGTAAGATCCAACAGTCTCACCAGAGCGTCTAGAACAGCACTCGGCACATGGCAGGTACTCGACATATGTTGTTTGAATCCACTGGCATATTAATAACCGAGGGATCCCTCTCTGGGCTTGCCATAGAGCCTGGCCCAGGGCTTTGTTTTTAGTAGGTACACAGTGACTTCTGTCTGTATTATTATTTTAATATCATTTAGTCCTTCTATTACTTTTGGACTAATTGGCAGGATAGCATGGCAACTACAGCGCAGGCACCCAAACCGCACAGCGCGGGTCTGAATCCTGGTGCCGCCCACTTCCAGCCGTGTCATCTCACCAAGGTGGATTACTGGCTACTTTAAGCCAAGAGTTGGGCCTTCTGCTTCCCAGGGCCTCTCCTGGTTTAGAACGGTGGTAGAGAACCCGGGCTTTGTCCTCACACAGGCCTCCATTTGAATAGGGATTTCGCTCTGTCCCTGTGTGACCTTGGGCTCCTTATTCGACTCTTCCAGGCCTGGGGCTCCTCATGTGTAAAATGTGCAGAATAACGCCTATTCCCCAGAACTGTTCCAAGGATTAAGTGAGGTAACATACGTGTGGCATTAGCGCTGGACTGGGGACACGAGAAGCTGTGTAAATGGAGGCTTTTGACAGTAAGAACAAGGGCATGGCCGTGGCTTGGTGGCAGGGGGTGGCAGGCAGGGTCAAGGTTTCAGTGCAGTTTAGACTTTGGTGTAAATGTGCAGTGGAGAAGCCGGGATGTTTGAGACGAGTCCCAACTCTCTGCGGCCGTGGGCAAGGCCTTTCTCATCTCACTTTTATCATCTTTGAAATGGACACAGTTCTATTTGCCCTGTTTGCATCCAATGTTGTTGGGAGGCTAAAATGAAAGACTAGATCTAAGAGGAATGGCAGCAGCCACCTTTACTCAGCTTCTCTCTAAGATAAGCACTTGTTGAGGGCTAGATGCTGACCCAGCCCCTACCCCTATGGCAAAGATGTACGCGACCTAACCCCTGTCCTCTCGGATAAGGGGAGGTTAACCCTAGTCTGATCATAAACTTAACCTCTACTGAGCACTGCTATGTCCCAGCACTTTGGCAGGTTAACTCCTTTAATGCTCATATCCAACCATTAGGACAATATTATTTCCATCCTCATTTACAGATGAGACAACCGAGGCTCAGAGAGGGGAGGTGATTTGCCTAAGGTCACACAGCTAGTAAGTGGCAGGGCTGAGATTCACACGCAGTCAGTCCAACTCTTTGCTACTCTCAAGCTGTTTGTTCTTTGATAAGCTGCTTCCCTTCTCTGGGTCTCTGGTTTCCCTTTCTCAAGATGAGCAAGTAGTTTCCCCCTGATGCTCCTCGGATGCTGGAAGCCTGCAGGGACCAGCGAGAAATGGAAAAGGGATTTTAGCAATAAGGATGGGGGAAGGCTAAGTGGAGCAGGGCTCTATTTTAATAAAAACAGAGAAATATTTTAAGTTGTCAAACCATTAATATTTTCATACACAGCTTCCCTCCTTGTTTGGATATTTGCAAACATCCTTCTCAGCTCAGGGTCAGATGAATACCTCCCCATTATCTGGTCTATTTCTTGCATTATTTTAGTCTTACATTTACTTGTCTAATTGGACTGGAATTTATTTGGGCCTGGAGAGTGAGTGAGGCACTAACCTCGTATTTTCTAAATAGTTAATCAATTCCCTCAATACAATTTCATTAAGTCATTATTAATTTCCTAACTTATTGGAAATACCTCCTTTATCAAACAAATGAATATGTAAATTCGAGTTTGTTTCTGAACTTTCTCTTAATCTGTGGATGTCTATCTACTTGTGTTTCAATACCGCAATGGCTGTTGCTGGTTGATTAAAATAAATCCATACCCAATGTCTTCACATTAATAATACTTAAAACCGAGAACTTTGAATGCGAGGTCAAAGACAACACGGACCCATTACCGTTAGGACTTGCGTGTCTGGGCAGCCTTCCATCGGAGCAGTGCAGCGGCGTAGCAAGGCTCAGATTGAAACACTGTGTTTGCCAATTAGTCATTTGACTTATTGTCCAAATGGTTGGTGGGAAGTCTTGGCAACCATCATCGAACGTTTGCAAAGGACAAGGACAAACAAGTTGGTCAGGTGACGTTCTAAGAATATGGTGAGCCTGCAGGGGCATTTAGAGACACTTTTCCATGTTCACCCAACGGCAGCCTACGACACAGATTTCGGCAGAGGAAGCCACTTCAGGATGTGGAAAAATCCACTCAGTGCAGAGAAAACATCTAGTGAGAAATTCTCTGGCTCCCTGGCTCACACTCAATGCTGCGTCCACCCACCCCACAGCAGGTGCGCACCGGGCAGCGCTGGACTCCCCTCAGGATTTGGAGCCAGAAGAAGTAGTGGTGTGTGAAGGGTCACCATTTACTTTCTGAATAGCTTTGGACAAGTCTCTAACCTCTTGGAACCTCTGTTTCTCATTCAGTAAAATTGAGATAACTGTTCTCGCTCATCTTACGCTGCTGCGAGGATCTGACGAGATGGTGTATGCGAAAATATGATACTTTGGAGCCTTTAAACAAAGCAACAAATGATAGTTATGAGCGTTTCACCTGGACCACGATTCTTTTTATAGGTGAATTGTTGAACACCAGATATTTCTTGCCTTCATGGTTTGGAAAAAAGTCAGATTGTTCAACAGTCTCTAAAAGTTTAAGCAAGAGTTACAGAATCCTCTGAACTCCAATAACGAGGGGTGTGTCTGGCAAAGGCCATTCACTGGACACCTACGTGGTTAGTTTCATTTGTGTTATACCATTTTTTCCCACTGAAAAGAAAAGAGGGCACTAGAGATGCTGTGCTTTATAGAAATGCCTGTCCTATTTTTTATTTAAATACTCGGGACACTTGGCAAATTCTCAGGTGTAGGCACACAGAAATGCAATGTCTAACGAGCAGCTGGTTCTTTCATTTGCATGGAAACCCATGTGGGCATTGAGAGCCTTCGCCACATCAAGATCTGAAGTTATAGAATTTCACGCTCAAAATAATTTTTTCTTCTCATCATCTTTACTTGTGCTTCTTCCATTCTCTTTTCAACCCGGTCCAATCAGGCTTGTCTCCATTGAGAAACCTCTTTTCTTAAAAAGAGCTAGCTTTTTTTGCTAAATTCCATGGTCAAGCTTCAGACTTCACCTCACTCAACTTCTCCACCGTGTGCGACATGGTTGATCATTCTCTCCTTCAGGAGGCACTTTTTATCTTGGCTTCTAGGATGTCACACTTCCCTGGATCTCACCTTACCTCAGCAGAAACCCTTTCTTAATTGGAGGTCTTCCATGTCTCCCCCGCCTTTAACTGTTGGAGCATCCGGGGGCTCGCTTCTCACATCCCTTCCCTTCCTCTTCCATCCCTTCCCTTCCCTTTCCTTCTCTACTCCTCCCCTTTTCTCTTCTCTGCTTTTATTCATGCATTTGGTGACTTTCTTCTCTGGCTACTCATCCAGTCTCAGGCTTTAAATACCATCTTAAAACACATCTCCAGATGAGACCCCCTCTTGAACTTCAGACTCTATATCCCCTTGAATGTCTAAAAGGCATCCCAAACTCAACATGTCCACAACCGACCATGTCCCTTGCAACCTGGTCTTCCTGCAAGAGCCCCAACTCAAAAAATAACTCTATTTTCCCAATATTTTAAACCAAATTCCTGCTGACTCTACCTTCAGTATATATCTGGACCTCATCTGCTTCTCACCACCTCCATGCTACAAACCTGGTCCAAGCCACCAGTATCTCTTGCTTGGATGACAGCACTGGCCTCCTATCTCCTGTCCTTCCTTCCATTCTTGTCAAAGTCTTTTATGGCACTAAGATTCTGTCAAAAGCTGATTCTGATCATGTCACTCCTCTGTTCAAAGCCCTCCAATGTCTTCTGTTCTTTCTCAGAGGAAAAGTCAATTCCTTATGATGGCCCACAAGGCCTTACGTGATCTCCTTCACTGTCCCCAATTGAATCTGGCATTTTCTCCCTTACTTATCCTGCTCCAGCCAGACTCGCCTTGTTGTGATTCTCATCTCAGGACTTTTTCACTTGCTGTTCCCACTGCCTGGACTGCTCTTCCATCAGAGCTTTACTTCCTTCAGGTCTCTGCTCAAATGTCACACCATCAATGCGGTCATCCCTGGCCACCGTCTATAAAATACCCACTCCCTGGCCTTTGCTATCCTCTCTGCCCTGTTTCATTTTTCTTTCCTGAGCTTATCACCACCTGATAGATATTTGTTTGTGGTGGCACCTCGTAGGTGGTTATAAATACTTGTTGAATGAATGAGGGAATGAATGAACGAGGCCTGGCAAGCACAAATTCCTATGAAAGAAGTGTCTGTCCAAAGGGCTTCTTCTTTCTGGAGTGGGGGGACATCCACTGGCCCCTAGTCCTGGCTGCCTCATCTAGGAGGGGTTTGCTGTGTTCCCCAAAGTTGCCAAGGGGCATGGAGGGAGAGCAGAGCTTTTCCCAAGCCTCTGAGGTCCAGATCCTGGGGATGGGCCTGGCAGGATGGGAAGGACGGAGGGTGTTGTTGGCATGGCAGGCATCTGGATGCAAGTCTTGAAAAGGAGACAGAACTGCTTCCCGAGGGAGACCCAAAGCCGAGCAGGCTCCCATCGTAAACTGCCGAGTTTGCCGTCTCAGGTTTGCAGAGGATTTGTCTGGACTGATTTCCTCCAGGAAAACAGGAATGTGTGTCAGCAAGGACTCTTTTAAGTCAAAACACTATCTTTATCACGGGGCGCTCAGGCGCTTGCTCTGAGGGTTGTATGGAAGGCAGAGGGGCAGTCATGGGGCTAAACGGCTTCAGGGGGCCTTCCTGGGCCTGGGGCAGGGATGGGGGTGGGAGTGGGCACAAAGCTCCCCCCTAGCCATTTGGAGGGCCCCCAGCCTCCGCAGCTCACTT